AAATAAGTTCAAATCTACCAGTAACCACAACAAATGAAAATGAACGAAACTTACCTATAAAGAGACTGAATCGTACAGATTTGGTGAAAAACAGTTCTGCTCTATGCTGCTTACTAAAGACCTACTCAAAGTAACACCACAAAAAAGGTTAAAGAATGGTTACACAAATGGTAAAGATCCATCAGTGAGATATATTAATATTTAAGATATATATTAAATTATGAATATGTACCTGAGAATGTGTTTCAAATATGTATTCAGCAAAACATGTCAAAATTACTAGAAGGAATAGAAACTTCAAATCTATAGAGAATGATTTTAACAGACCATTTTTGAAAAGAACCTTAAAGTAAACTTTAATAATTGGAGAGATAACGATGTTTATGGATGGGAAGGTAAAAAGAGTATCAAATTTACATAATTTGGGGGGAGTGGGAGGCTTATTTATTTACAAAAGAGAGAGATAAAGAAAAGATGATAAAATATTTAATTATCAAACTCCTTGTCCTTGGAGAAATGGTGATTCCCACTCATGCCAGAATGAAGCAAGAATGAACGTAGGACATTTGTTGTGCTAGAAGCAAGAAAGTTGTCAAAGACTAAAAGGGTCATGTTGCAAGAACGGGAGCCAACCTGAAGGGACTCCCACTAGTCCAAAATGGGGCAGTTTTGAACATCTAAAAGAAAAATAGCTGCAATATGATTGAAACACATCAAATATGTAAAAAACAATGAGGTCATGAAAGTGCTAAAAAGCAAAACAATACACATTTCATTGGTCATAATTGGCGGTTGCTTCACCCCATCTCATTACTTTGAAAGTTGATTTTTAAAAGGGGTAGTTCATGAAGGATAATCAAGCATTTATCTTGCCTGTTTCATTTGAACTACATTTTGTTTGGATAACTAGGAAATTTGTGATAATAAATTCTTCATTGTAGAATAATTATAGCTTGTATATGCACAGGGAATGATAGAATTAGAAAACCAATTTGCAATGCCTAATGAAATAACAGATCTAGGAAATGGTAATCATTTGCTGCTAAAATTTTTAGGGAAAGATTGATGGGGAATGTTATAATGAAGGGATTGGGCTAACATCACCTGAACCTGTTGATCAGTTTAACAACCCTATAAGTGGGCCAAACTAGACATCATGTGCTTCCTGAAATGTTGCAACAGAAAGTATATATAGCAAGTATTCTTGTCAGAAAAAGAACGAACCTTAATCTAAGCAGGTCTGTGGAACAAAAGAACTGGGGAACAGGAATGGCATAAAGATCAATTTGCATCCCACAAGGAAACAATTAGCCAAATCATTGATGTGAGATGTTCTACAGCAGTGCTCCTCAAGTGTCGTCCCAGCAGTGGACCAGCAGCATCAGTATCACCTGTGAGCTTATTAGAACTGTAGAATCTTACATTAGAGTCTCTGTGGATAGGATCCAGGAAATGTTTAACAAGTTCTCCAGGTGATTCTGATGCTCACCAAAGTTTGAGAATCAGTGTTCTACAAGATAAATGACTGAGTTCCTTTAACAGAAGGCATGATTTTCTTAAAAAGGGGAGAGGGGAAAGATGGGTAGGAAGGGATTGTTACACAACGAGAGATTTAAGAAACATAACAATAACCGAATATAATTTGTGGGCCTTTCTTAGATCCTCATTCAGACAGACGAACTGTAAAAAATATTTTTATGACAATCAGAAACATTTAATTTGAAGTGGGTGTTAGATGATATTGTTGTTAGTTGCCGTGGTGTCGATTCCAATTCATGCAACCCCATGTGTGTGAGAGTAGAAACGTACTCTATGGAGTTTTCAAGGCTGTGACCTTTCAGATGCAGATCTCCAGACCTGTCTTATGAGGCTTCCCTGAGTGGGTTCGAACTGCCAACCTTTTGGTTAGTAGTTAAGCACTTAACAGTTTGTGCCACACAGGGACTCTTAGTGATATTAAGTAAGTAAGTATGATCAATTTTGTTACACAATTATGTTCTTTAAAGTTCCTATCAGTTGATGAAAGATATATATTGAAATATTTCAACTGAAATATTTCTGAAATAACTATAAGTGAAATGACATTATGCCTGGGATTTGATTTAAAATACTCTAGCAGTAATAAGAATAGTAATAATGACAATAACAACAACAATAATCATGGGGGAGGCAGGATTGAAAGAAAATAGACAAAATGTTGTTAATTGTTGAATGATTACATGGGACCTCATGCTTTTCTCTTTACTCTGGTGAATGTTTGAAACTGTCCATGCTAATGTTTAAAGTCTTTAAGCAAATATGTCAAAATCATAATCAGTTCTGGGTGGTGGTATACAAGGGTCTATTATTTTATTTCTCATAAAACAAAATGACTCTGCTTATACAGTGTAATACTTTTTCCTTGGATTTTGACTTATCTAATATTAATATTGCAAAACCTACTTTATTTGTGTCCATGTTTTTCTGTTATAGCTTTGCCTGTCCTTTTCCTTTTTAATCTTTCAGAATTCAATGGTTTGGGGTGTGTCTCTTATAAAAGCATTAATTGCACTATATTTTAAAGCTCAGTGTTAGCATTCTTTTCACTACTAATAGACTTAACTTGTCATTTTATTCTTTATATAATTCTTTTTTCTGTGTAGAGTTATTATACCTATTAATTTTGAATATAGGTTTCCTGAATTTTTTCTAGTGGAGAAAAATGTTTGCAACATATTTTTTAAAGTATTTTGGTGGGAAGTTTCATAGTAGTTTTTAGTAAATTGAAATGCACATACCTGGGAATTTAACTTCTGGAAATTTACCTTATAGAAATATTATTAGAAGTGAATGCTCAATTATTTATTTAAGAGAATTGTCTGCTGCTGTATTGTGATAGTCAAACAGCTGGAAATTGAATGTCCATCAGTGTGGGACTAGTTAAATTTGGAATAACATAAAATGAAGTCCTTTGCAATGTGTACAAATTATATTAGTTACTTATAACAAATTATACATAACAGATTATCAAATTATCCCAAATTTTACAAATTAACAAATTATCCCAAGATTGAGCAGGTTAAAGCAACAAACATTTGTTATCTCACATATTTATTATGGGTCAGGAATCTGGACTGGTATAGTTGGCTCTTTCTGGCTCGGGGTCTGTTATGAGGCTGCAGTCAGTCAGACTGTTAGCAGGGACTGCAGTCACCTGAAGGCTTCACTGGGGCTGGAGGATCTGCTTCTAAGATGGTTCCCTCACATGACTTTTGGCAAGATGCCTCATTTCTCATTGACTATTGGTAGAAGGTTTTCACTGGCTGATTTTTTTTCAGAAGTAGACCACCAGGTCCTTCTTCCTAGTCTGTCTTAAGTCTGGAAGCTCAGCTGGAACCTGTCCATCAGGGGTGACCCTGCTGGTAGCATAACTTCCAGCATCACAGCAGCATGCGGGCCTCCACAGTACGACAAACCGACAGGCGTGTGGGGGTTGAAGATCAAAGACCATAGCCTTCAGCGTGGATTACACCTCAACATAAAGAAAACAAAAATCTTCACAACTGGACCAATAAGCAACATCATGATGAACAGAGAAAAGACTGAAGTTGTCAAGGATTTCATTTTACTTGGATCCACAATAAACACCCATAGAAGCAGCAATCAGGAAATCAAAAGATGCACTGCATTGGGCAAATCTGCTGCAAAAAACCTTTTTAAAGTGTTGGAAAGCAAAGATGTCACCTCAAAGACTAAGGCGCACCTGACCCAAGCCATGATGTTTTCAATTGCCTTATCGCATATGAAAGCTGGACTATAAATAAGGATGACCAAAGAAGAATTGATGCCCTTGAATTAATGTGTTGGCAAACAATATTGAATATACCATGGACTGCCAAAAGAACAAACAAATCTGTCTTGGAAGAAGTACAACTAGAATGTACCTTAGAAGCAAGGATGGTGAGACTTTCTCTCACATACTTAGGGCATGTTATCAGGAGGGATCAGTCCTTGGAGAAGGACATCATGCTTGGTAAAGTAGAGGATCAGTGAAAAAGAGGAAGACCCTAAATGAGATGGATGGACACAGTGGCTGGAACAGTGGGTTCAAATATAACAATGATTGTGAAGATGGTGCCCGACCAGGTAGTGTTTTGTTCTGTTGTACATAGGGTGGCTGTGAGTCAGAAGCGACTTGACAGCACCTAACAACAGCAACATTGGTAGAAGGCTCCAGTTCCTGGCCACATGGATCTCTTCACAGGGCTGCCTAAGTGTCCTCAGGAAATGGCAGCTAGCTTCCCCCAGGGCAGATGATCCAAGAGAAAGAGAGCAAGGAAGAAGCACCATTGCCTTTTTATGACCCAGTCTCCAAAGTTGCACAACATTACTTTCCCTTCCACTTTTTTTTTTTTTTTTTTCTGTTTGTCAGAAGCCAGTCACTAAGTCCAGCCCTCATTCAAGGCGTGGGGAAATGGATCCACCCTTAAAGAGAAGAATATCAAATAATTTGTGGAAATATTTTGAAACTACCACAAATAAGACAAGCCTAAAATGATAAGTCATGAAATATTAATATAAGCAATATTGAGCAACATTGTTATAACTGGCAAATAGTTTTGGTCTGAAGTATGCACACCTGGGTCTATATCCCACCTCTGCCATCTCCTAGCTCTGTAATCTCAGGAATTTACTTAATTCTCTTCAATCATTGTTTACTAATTTGTGAAATGGGGATAATAATAGTACTTAATAATAGTACTTACAACACAGGATTGCTATGAGGATTAATTGAAATGTTATGTGGGATGCACTTACCCAGTGGTTAGCAGACAAATGCTACACATTTCTTATGATGGTGATTGTGTTCGAGGACTGGATACATTATTCATCTGTTCAAGTACTATTATTATTTCTGCTCTCTTTTTTTGTTTTTCTTCCTTATTGGTTCTTTTTGTATTTGGTTTGCCACTTGTGTTACTTGCTGAATGTATTTTTCTTTGCTCATCTTCTCACTTAGATTCATTCTTCCTGGAAAACCTGATCTTTGACCAGATGGCAGTAACATTTGAAGATGTAACTGTTACATTTACTTGGGAGGAGTGGAAATTCTTGAATTCTTCTCAAAAGAAGCTCTACAGAGAGGTCATGTGGGAGAACTACACAAATGTCATGTCAGTAGGTAAAGTTATCCGAGCTCTTAGCAAATACACTGTTTCTATTTGAACCTGTTTTGTTGAATATTTTGGTTTTTTATCTGAATATTTTGGTATTTAGGGTTATGGGAGAAATATTCTTAAAAATGTGTCTTAAATCAGGTGACACAAACAAGACATCATCCAAGACACATGGGGTATATGATTAATAGGTACCTGTTTTTATTGTTTTTAGTCATTGTCTGGTTTATACTTAAAGCACAGATCTCCATATAGAGCCAGTTTTGTGTAGTCCTAGATTTGTTTTCTCTTCATACCGTTTGTACAAGTTAGTTTCTACTGTATAACAAACTGTCCCAAACTTAATGGCTTAAAACAACAAAACTTATTATTTTTCATAATTCTAATTGGATGGTGGTTCTGTCATGGAGTGGCTCAATGGGGGCAGGATGGTCTAAGATGGGGCTGGATGCCTAACTCATCTGTATGGCAGTTGTCTCAGTGTTAGTGGGGATGATGGAGCTGTGCTGCCCATATGTACCTCTTAAAGCAGGCCAGGCCTGGCTCATTTACATGAGAGTTGTCACAGGATTTTCAAAAGCAGTGAGAGAGATGGTAAGTCCCGGTATGCAAGCAGTTGTCAAGTCTCTGCTTATGTCAGTTTTGCTGATGTCCCAGTGACCAAAGCATGTTGCATAGCCCAGACCAGAGTCAGTGTAGAGGGGAACACCCAAAGGTATAGCTAAAGGTAGAGAGTTAATGCAGCCATCGTTGCACACAATCTGCCACACTATTCTGGAAGACAGAAAATACAAATAATATTTTATTTCTTCTAATAATGCCCCACATAGAGTAATCTAATTAAATTTCAGACTTCAAGGCTATTTTCCTGAATCAGTCAACCTTACTCTTTTATTTTTGAACAGTGCCTGGTAAATACTAGGTACTCAAGATATTTGTGGAATGAATTAAATGAATACATAAATTAATAGACAAGCAAATAAATGAATTTTAGACCCAAATGGAACAACCAGAATCATAACCATTCTTTCTCACCCATGCATATATTCAGTACACATATTGTTGTCCTTTTCAGTCAGTTTTTATCACAGTTAATTTTTGATACTTGCTGAATTCATTCTTCTGTGTGCATTTCCTCATTCAACAAGGATTGTTGTAATGTCTTGGTATGTGGAGATACAAAGATAAATTATATTACTCCCATCTTCATTGAGGGAGCCCTGGTGGCACAGTGGTTAAGTGCTTCGGCTGTTAACCAAAAGATCAGCAGTTTGAATCCACCAGCCACTGCTTGGAAACCCTAAGGGCAGTTCTACTCGGTCCTGTAGGGTCGATCTGAGTCAGAATCGACTCAACGGCGACGGGGTACCTTCACTGAGCTTGCAAAACTTTGGGAGGCAGTTCTCATTATATTCTGTCCCTTCTGTTTTTGAGAACCCACCAAAAGAATTCGAACATTTTACAATGGATGTTAATCTTCTATTGCAACTGGGAGCCTGAATGTCAGTTTTCTTACTCTCAGACATGCAAAATGAAAAATCATGAAGGACAAATAATGCAGATCATTTCCGTGCTTAAATAATAAAATGTTAAACTCTTCCTACAATTCTGGAGGTCATTGATTGAGATATTTGGAGATTTTTAAATAATAGCCTTCCTCTCACTAATGGATTATCTGCTTATTCTTCTAGGAAAGTGGAATGAGAGCTGTAAACCCCAAGAAGAAAGATTCAGATATTTAGAACATGACAGTCTTCCCTGCTGGAAAGGCTGGAGGAATGCCAGCACTCAGGTATATGAAAATCAGAACTATGTGGAAACTGTTCAAGAGGTATATTCCAAGGACCTAATGCAGCAAGACCTTTCCCACTGCCAAGAATGGTTAATACTCTCTACACAAGTACCAAGATACGGAAACTATGAACTGACTTTTGAAGACAGAAGTCCCAGGAGCTTTAAATATAAAAAGTTTATACCTTGGCAGTCCTTAGAAACAAAAAACACTAAAAATTATGGGAGAGAAATTTACACGAGTGATTCACATGGTTTTCAAGGAAACAGATACCATCTTGCCATATCCAGGAAAAGTTTCTCTTTGGAAAAAGAACAGAAGCTCATAGTTCATCATTCATATGTCCCAATAGAAGAAGCCCTTCCAGAGTTCATTGGTGAGATATACCAAAATGGCCTGCTGAAAGACTCTATGGAAGAGAAATACTGTGGATGTAGTAATTGTAAAGAAATTTATTACTGGAGCTCACAGTGTGTTCTCCACAAGAGAAATCCATTTGGAGAAAAACTCTATCAATGCTCCATCAGCACAGCATGCTTCTCTCAGAGATCAGACCTGTATAGACATCCAAGAATCCATATAGGTAAGCATCTGTACAGATGTGATGAAGTTGACAGTCACTTTAGTCAGAGCTCAGGTGTTCACTTTCATCCGACAGTCCACACGGGGGAGGTACCTTACATATGTAATGCGTGTGGTAAGAGTTTCTGTCAGATCTCTAGTCTTCACAGTCATCAAAGAGTCCACACAGAAGAGAAACTGCATAAATTTGAGTGTAATAAGGACCTCAGTAGAAATTCGTTACTTCACATTCATCAGAGACTTCACATAGGAGATAAACCTTTTAAGTGTGATCAGTGTGGTAAGAGTTTTAGTCGGAGTTCAGTACTTAATGTTCATCAGAGAGTCCACACAGGAGAGAAACCATATAAGTGTGATGACTGTGGAAAGGGCTTCAGTCAGAGCTCAAATCTTCGAATTCATCAGTTAGTCCACACAGGAGAGAAGTCCTATAAATGTGATGACTGTGGTAAGGGCTTTACCCAGCGCTCAAATCTTCAAATTCATCAAAGGGTACATACAGGAGAGAAGCCGTATAAATGCGATGACTGTGGAAAGGACTTTAGTCACAGCTCAGATCTTCGTATTCATCAGAGAGTCCATACGGGGGAAAAACCCTATATTTGTCATGAATGTGGTAAGGGCTTCAGCAAAAGTTCAAAGCTTCACACTCATCAAAGAGTACATACTGGAGAGAAACCCTATAAATGTGAAGAGTGTGGTAAGGGATTTAGTCAGCGTTCACATCTTCTCATTCATCAGAGAGTCCACACAGGAGAAAAACCCTATAAATGTGATGATTGTGGAAAGGGCTTTAGTCACAGCTCAAATCTTCACATTCATCAGAGAGTCCATACTGGAGAAAAACCTTACCAATGTGCTAAATGTGGTAAGGGTTTTAGTCATAGCTCGGCTCTTCGAATTCATCAAAAAGTCCACACGGGAGAGAAACCTCATAAATACCACGAATATTATAAGAGATTTGATCAAAATTCACATCTTCACAGTAACCACATAAGAGAAACCTTATAATTTTGTTTATTTAGTTAAGAGCTTTAAAGCTTAAACTTTAAACCAAATAAGTGCTGCTGGGAAGGAAATCCTTTACGTAACCCAAATAATCCCACACAACATTTATAGTTTTCCTTAACTCTCACTAAATCATTTGCTTTAAGAGGTGATCCTTAGGAGAATTCTTATATATTTAAAATTAAAGTATATTTTCGTTTTCTACTATATATATAATGCATAGTCATTATAAAATATATGAAAGATTAAAGGAGAAAACTCTTTATCCTGTTTCATTCTAGTCTTTTTTCTCTGCATTTTAATGTGCTTGAACTCATATTGTATGTTCAGCTTTGCATTTTCACTGACCTCAGAACATTTTCTTAATGTTTGCTTTGAATTGAAATGGGCTAGCCATCTCTGGAACATCATCTCTTGACTCCCTCAATGTCTAGGAAGCCGCAGAACAAAATTAAAATACACAACACTTGAAACTCAAACTGGTAGACAACTTTACTGCTTGAATATGGAAGAATTAACTGGACGTCCAGTATAATTCAATTGCTCATGAAACAGAGGACACCTGATAAAAGAAGATCATTGTATTACCCTGTATATGACACAGGATATCTTAGATATGTTCTCTCTGTCAACCAGAAATCTCTGAAACGAATATTTTATTGCAGGAGTATTACACTTTGAGATAACTACAACTCACTCTTACGCCCTTTTCCAGTTTTTCATATTTATTCATAGGTTCAGACACTAAGTAGCTGGAGACAGAAGATTGTTTCCCTAAGTAAGGTGTGGAAGGTGTGGGCAAAGGGCAGGAATAACACTGACAGGAGTAAATGCTAGAAATTGAAGATACTCCATTGGTTCAGAATCGGAGAGCCAAGCAGTAAAATTTCATTTCAGTAGAAGAGAGTCGTATATGAATATCTGCTAGTAACAGAATTGAACTCAGCTATGTACAACAGTGAACCCTCAAGCTATATGTAAGAAGAAAATTTGGCCATTATAAAAATGGAGTGGAGTCAATAGGAATACACAAAGCCTGACAATATTGATGTACAAATATGTTCAGATCTCTCTTCCCAAGAGGGAAAAAAAAATCAGGTTGGTCTGTTTTGAGAAGTAAGAAGGAATTGTAATACCAAAAAATGGAATATTATCCAGAAAATTTAGACACCTGTGGCCCTAAAAATTAGCTATTTCAGACTCTAGAAGAAAATTTCAAAATAATTGGTGTCCTCAGAAGCCTAATAGAAAACCTAATGGTACACATTCTAAATCCGTTCTACACATTCTGCATCAGAAGTTGGGATACTCCCTGAGTAACAATAGTTTTTTTTTAAATAGTGCTCAGAGACATTGAAGAACGTAGCTGTGAACTTCACCCAAAAGGAGTGGAAACAACTGGATCCCACACAAATGGCCCTGTATAGGGATGTGATTTATAGGGCTAAGATGGTGTCATGGATTGAATTGTGTCCCCCCAAAATAGTGTTAACTTGGTTAGGCCATTATTCCCAGTATTGCTTGGTTGTCCTCCATTTTGTGATTGTAATTTTACGTTAAAGAGGATTAGGGTGGGATTGTAACACTCTTGCTAAGGTCACATCCCTGATCCAGTGTAAAGGGATTTTCTCTGGGGTGTGGCCCGCACCACCTTTTATCTTACAAGAGATAGCGAGCAGAGCGGAGGACCTCGTACCACCAAGAAAACAGTGCCAGGAGCAGAGCGCATCCTTTGGACCTGGGGTTCCTGTGCAGAGAAGCTCTTAGTCTGGGGGAAAATTGATGAGAAGGCCGACAGAGAGAGAGCATTCCCCTGGAGCTGACACCCTGAATTTGGACTTTTAGCCTACTTTACTGTGAGGAAAAAATTTCTTTTGTTAAAGCCATCCATTTGTGGTATTTCTGTTACAGCAGCACTAGATACCTAAGACAGATGGCATTCCTGTAACTCATGTTATAGCATTTGGAGCATCCTGGCTTCCTCTATTGAATATGGCTGCATAACATCATGATATTTAAGGGAAAGGAGCTACCGAGAAAACAAACCCAAACCCATTGCCGTTGAGTTGATTCTGACTCATGGTGACCACATGTTACAGAGTAGAACTGAGCTCTGTAGGGTTTTCTTGGCTACAATCTATACAGAAGCAATTGTCAGGCCTTTCGGAGCTGCTGGATGAGTTCGAACTGCCAACCTTTCCGTTAGTACTTGGGTGCAAACTGTTTGCGCCACCCAGGGACCTTGGAAGGAACTACACAAGGGTACAAATACTTGCAGCCATGGTTCATTGGGAGCCACCAACTGAACCGCTACTGTGCTGACAGATTGACAAATTAGTTAAGTAATAGCTTGCCCTGGCTACTCAGTGAAGTGTAAGAGGCTATGGTAGAAATTAAAAGAGGAATTAAAATATTAGGACAGGTAAATTATCAATCCTACAGAGAGTAGGAGAGAAGTAGAAATTGGGACATGGTCTTAGTTATCTAGTGCTGCTATAACAGAAATACCACAAGTGGATGTCTTTAACAAATTTATTCTCTAGCAGTTTAGGAGGCTAGAAGTCTGAATTCAGAGCACCACCTCTAGGGGAAGGTTTTCTCTTTCTGTTGGCTCTGGGGGAAGGTCCTTGTCTCCTTTCAATGTCTTTAGGCTCAACATTCATTGGAGATCTTCACGTGTCTTGCAATCAGTCTTCCCCTGGGTCTAGGAGGTTCTCGGCACAGGGACCCCAGGTCCAAAGGACATGTTCTGCTCTCAGCTGCTCTTTCTTGGTGATAACTGAAGTCCCTCCTCTCTGCTTACTTCTTTCTCCTTTTCTCTCGTAAGGTAACAGGTGATGCAGGCCACACCCCAGTGAAACTCCCCTTACAGAGATTAGGGTCGTGACCTGAGTAAGGGTGGTGACATTAGTAAGGGTGATGCATCCCACCCTAATCCTGCCCCATTAACATAATAACCTAATCCTCATTAACACACAGAAGTCAGGATTTACAACACATAAAATGGAGGGTAGGCCTCTCTGGTCCTTGGCCCTTATGGCCCCTTGGGCTGCTTGGGCAAGCCCAGCTTCTGCCCTGCTCGGGCAAGTGTTTCAAAACTCTAGCTCCACCAAAGTTCCCAGAGACACTCCACTCATCCAGTTAGCCTCTGCCCGAAGGCTCTCAACTCTCTCACTCCGTAGGCTGGAAGCCCACTGTGCCATCTCCTGCCAGTCTCCTGATTCTGCTACTTCCTGTTGCCACCGTCTCTCTGCTGCTGCTTCTCGCCATCTGTCTTAGGCTGGGTTCTATGGTTTTAGAGGCTGGTAAGTCCCAAGTTCGTGGGTCAGGCATCTCCTTCCTGTCTTTTTAATGACCTCTTTCTTCATGTATGATGTCATTGATGTTATTTCACAACTTATCTAGTCTTTGGTCATTAGTGTTCAACATGTCAAATCTATTCTTGAGATGGTCTCTAAATTCAGGTGGGATATACTCAAGGTCATACTTCGGCTCTCGTGGACTTGTTCTACTTTTCTTCAGCTTCAACTTGAACTTGCATATGAGCAATTGATGGTCTGTTCCACAGTTGGCCCCTGGCCTTGTTCTAACTGATGATAATGAGCTTTCCCATGTTCTCTTTCCACAAATGTAGTTGATTTGATTCCTGGGTATTCCATCTGACTAGGTCCTTGTGTATCGTCGCTATTTATGTTGTTGGAAAAAGGTATTTGCAATGAAGAAGGTGTTGGTCTTGCAAAATTCTGTCATGCGATCTCCAGCATTGTTTCAATTGCCAAGGCCATATTTTCCAACTACCGATCCTTTTTCATTGTTTCCAGCTTTCACATTCCAATCACCAGTGATTAGCAAAGCATCCTGATTGCATGTTCTATCAATTTCAGACTGCAGAAGTTGGTAAAAATCTTCAATTTCTTCATCTTTGGCCTCAGTAGTTGGTGTGTAAATTTGAATAGTCGTGTTAACTGGTCTTCCTTGTAGGCATGTGAATATTATCCTATCCCTGACAAGGTTGTACTTCAGGATAGATCTTGAAATGTTGCCTTTGATGATGCAACGCCATTCCTCTTCATGTTGTCATTCCCGGCATAGTAGACCATATGATTGTCCGATTCACAATGGTCAGTACCAGTCCCTTTCAGCTTACTAATGCCTAAGATATCGATGCTTATGCATTCCAGTTCATTTTTGCTGACTTCCAATTTTCCTAGATTTATACTTCGTACATTCCATATTCCGATTATTAATGAATGTTTGCAGCAGTTTCTTCTCATTTTGAGTCGAGCCACATCAGCAAATGAAGGTCCCGAAAGCTTGACTCCATCCACGTCATTAAGGTGGACTCTAGTTTGAGGAGGAAGCTCTTCCCCAGTCGTCTTTTGAGTGCCTTCCAACCTGTGGGGCTCATCTTCTGGCACTATATCAGACAATGTTCTGCTGCTATTCATAATGTTATCACTAATTCTCTTCAGAAGTAGACCGCCAGCTCCTTCTTCTTAGTCTGTCTTAGTCTGTCAGCTCAGCTGAAACCTGTCCGCCATGGGTCTGTCAGTTTGTCATATTGTGGGGGCTTGCATGTTGCTGGGATGCTGGAATCTATGCCATCATGCGGGGAAGGGTAAATCCTTTTCTGTAAATCCTTTCCTAGAACACAATGGGTGGGAGGATTTCTTAAACCTTTGCTGTTTTCTAGGATCACAGAGCTCAGGTAAAGTTCAACATTATCAAGATACTGTCCTAAGAGTTTTGTAGTGAAAAAGTTTATCAGCACATTACCACACATTCCAGGAAATGTAATTATTTTGTGTGTGAGCTCCTCCAATTCAGCTCTGATGGTAGAGGCTAGAGTACAAACACAGGCCAGTTCAATTCAATCCTGTTCCCTTCCTCTTGTGATTGGAGACCTTGATTTTGCCCTCAAGAAACTCACTGTTGACAGTAGACACATGGTCAGTTCTAGCATTTTGGAGAAGGGCATTATATTCCAGTTACGCATAGAAGAG